AAAAGCTACACCTCCCCATTCTGGGCTTAATTCTATCAAGGGAAGACAAGACAGCAAATAATCATAACACATAATTACATGGTAGAAAATAAGTGGTGTGAAGAAAAACAGTGAGCAGGGTAAGGGTGGGGGTGGTCAGAAAAGCCGGGAGGCTGTGGAGTGGCACGGTTTTAAATAGAATGGCCAGGGTGGGCCCCACCAAGAGGATGGTTGAGCTAAGATTTGAAACCACATTCTGTCTCGGGATTGTGCACACACTCTTTTCTGAAACCTATCTGCCTCTTGAAGGCCAAGTCTAAGACAATATTCTCCATAAAGTTTTCTGGCCACTCCAGCCCCTACGGTTATCCTCTGTCCTAACTGACAACTAGCATGGTTTGCAGTCATCGTTTTAACAACAAATCAAGTGCTATTTTTATTTCATGTATGCGTAGCTTATCTGCCTCTTCCCCACAAGCCAGACTATAAGCTCCTTCAGAACAGAGACTGGCTTACATGTGCCTGAATGTCACAGCTCTCAACAAGTACTTGCTAGCACATTTACTTTTAAGGAATTTAAAAATATATATTTTATGGATTTCAGAGAGGAAGGAAAAGGGAGAGCTAGAGACATCAATGATGAGAGAGGATCATTGATTGGCTGCCTCCTGCACGCCCCCTAATGGAGATGGAGCCCGAAACCTCGGCATGTGCCCTTGATGGGAATCAAACCCGGGACCCCTCAGTCTGAAGGCCGACGCTCTATCCACTGAGCCAAACCAGCGAGGGCACACATTTATTTTTATAAACTAAATGAACTGGTATAAAAAAATCACAGAGTACTCAGACCATGAACCAGAACAGGCTATTTAGACTCCCAGTCCAGTGCTAATTTAATAAGCCTTACTGCTTCCTAAGAATCCCACTTCTTCTGCTTAGAGGTTTATTCTGCCTTGCTGGGCAGAGATCCCTTGTGGCAATTTATTCCTCATGGATCATTCACCGGGTTTACTGCATTGCACTCAATGCTTGGGGAGTGAAGATGTACTTACTTATTCCCTCCTTTTGGGAGGAGGGTGGTTATGCTCAGAGAAGGCAGGTTTTCATGGTTGAGAATGCCATGTTGGATACACAGAGTCTGTTACTTTGGATACAGTTCTCAACGGGCCCTCCTCACCTTGCCTCCTCTCTTTCCCCTGCCCAGGGCCCGCACAGAACGATACTTTGAGTTCCCCTTGCTGGAGCGGTACCTGGCGTGTAAGCAGCGCTCACACTCACTAGTGGCTACCTACCTCCTGAGGAACTCCCTCTGGCTCCTCTTCACCTCAGCCACCTACCTGTACCTGGGCCACTTCCACCTGGATATCTTCTTCCAAAAGGAGTTCAGTTGTTCTGTCAAGACAGAGCTGCTAAGCAATGAGACCGACATCCCCGACCTCATCACCTGCCGACTGACCTCCCTGTCTGTTTTCCAGATTGTTAGTCTCTCCATTATAGCAACATACACCCTCCTGGTGCCTGTGATCATCTACAACCTCACTCGGCTATGTCGGTGGGACAAACGACTCCTGTCTATCTACGAGATGCTCCCAGCATTTGACCTCCTCAGCAGGAAGATGCTGGGGTGCCCCATCAATGACCTCAACGTGATCCTTCTTTTCCTCCGAGCCAACATCTCTGAGCTCATCTCTTTTAGCTGGTTGAGTGTCTTATGTGTGTTGAAGGACACGACCATCCAGAAGCACAACATTGACACGGTGGTCGATTTCATGACTTTATTAGCTGGCTTAGAACCCTCAAAACCTAAACACCTCACTCGCCAGGTGAGTGATGAAAACCCATAGTGAAGAAACCGCAGAGCAAGAAATTTTACGGGTAAAAGTCTTTCTCCTTCCTCACAAGCCTCACACACTATCATAAAAAAATATATCTCCTCTAGAATTGCTAAGCTCGGATTCCGCTGAATTATATATCCTGTAGCGTGTGAGAAGATATAATCAACACATGGAAACAAATCTGAAAATTAGAGCTGAAAAGTCAGAGAACTAAAAAATTAGATCTAGAGCATAATATAAGGGGGGGGAAAGCTACAACTAAAATTAAAGTGTAGACATTCTATAAGGAAAGAAGGTTCTAGAGCAGTGGTTCTCAACCTTCTGGCCCTTTAAATACAGTTCCTCATGTTGTGACCCAACCATAAAATTATTTTCGTGGCTACTTCCTAACTGTAATGTTGCTACTGTTATGAGTCGTCATGTAAATATCTGATATGCAGGATGGTCTTAGGCGACCCCTGAGAAAGGGTCATTCGACCGCCAAAGGGGTCTCGACCCACAGGTTGAGAACCGCTGTTCTGGAGGCTATTAATGGAGGCAGCTTCTTCTCTCTGTATGTACTCCATAGCCCTTCAGGCATATGTACTCAGCAGTGGGGTAAGCTGGTAGGAGAATAAAGATATGAAATCCAAAGAAGAAAACAAAACAAAACAAAAAGATAAGAAATCCCTGGGAACACTTTGGTGTGGCCTGAGACCCTAGGAGTATGCCCAGCTTGCTTTGTGAGTCATCAAACTTGGCCAGGCCCCCTGTGGCCTGCAAAGTGGGCAGGAGAACATGATGGCAGGAACTTGCAACATGCTCTTGGGGCTTCAGGACAGTGTAGAACAAGGTCTGGGCCATGCACCAGCCATGGCTGGAGCCATGAGGTGTGCAGATACACCTTTTCATCATTTAAATCAGGGACTCACTTAACCAAGGGCTGGAACTTTAGGCTGTGGACTCCTTCACAACTCTTAATGGGTACAGGTGTGCTTTTCATAGCCCAGGGAGACTATACATCCACTTGGAGCCAACCGCTGACGAGCAACCACTTAAGTAAAATGCTGGTGAGCCCCTTCTCTCTCTCCTCTGACTCATCACCCCATCTTATCTGATCACTCCCATCCCTGTGCCTGTATTTAATGGAACCTTACCTGACTCCCAAAGCCATACTCAGCCCACAATACCAACTATCTCTCATTTGATATTTATTTTTAAAGGTGCACATTATTATACCCTTTTTCATATGGGTATGTAGAAAAAATATGTTGTTCCTGACAAAGTTGGATAAGTTTACCTAAAACAAGCAAAGGGATTGACACATACACATTCATTATTGGCTTCCTATTGTCATTGGTAAAAGTCTAACTCTTCAGATTGGTACACATGACCCTTTGCGATCCAAACACTGCCTACCCCTTCAGTCCTCTCGCCCCTCTCCACGTACTGGTACATCTTTCACTCTAATCAACTACTTGCATTTTCTATGCTTCTCACGATGCTAAGCCTTAGAATATGCTGTCCCCAGTGCCCACGATGCCCTCCTGTTCCTCTCTCTTCAGAGTCAGCCTGGGCACATTCAAGAAGCCTTCCTGCCCAACTGGGTGGCTCAGTGGTTGGGCATCGACCTAGGAATCAGGAGTTCTCGGTTCAATTCCCAGTCGGGGCATAAGCCCGGATTGCGGGCTCCATTCCCAGTGTGGGGTGTGCAGGAGGCAGCCGCTCAGTGATTCTCTCTCATCATTGATGTTTCTGTCTCTCTCTCCCTCTCCCTTCCTCTCTGAAATCAATAAAAACTTTTTTTTTTTAAGAAGCCTTCCCTACCACCTCCGCCTTCCCTAACTGGGTGCTGCCATATCATCCACTACCTGCCTGAGATAAAACTGACTCCACTGTATGAATATTGCCCCTTTACCGCCTGGCTCTCCCCCTTAAATAAGTTTCCTAAACATTCTGCCCTAATAGGAACTACATATTCTTCTGAATAACGAAGTGACCGATGAGTTGCTTGATAACATTACAATGTTTGGAGCACCAGACCCAGCCTCTAAACAACCCTGTATGGAAAAAGCTTTGTGCACGAAGATGCTCTCTGATGACCCAAAAGTCAAACAACGCGGAAATAAATATGTAACATTCCTTTGCCATCACTGAAATATTGCGGGTACCAAGTGTAAAAGCTGGTGTTGACAGCCGAGGGCGGTGGGAGCCCGAGGTTCGCGCTGGGAGGGTTTCCGCCGGTTCCTGCCTCAGCCCAACCTTCTCGGTCCTCTGCTACGCACGCTGTCGCGAGTGACTGAGGTTTACGTCAGCCGGCGCCGTGCTTTACGTTAGTCGGCGCCGTGACGTAACTTCCGGGCAGGGTTACTTCCGAGGCAGCAGCGGAAGACCCGAGGCTCCGACTTCATTTGCGGGTTCTGGCCTAGCGCGCGCCGAGGAGCGTTCTGGAGAAATCGGTTCCTCCGGACCCGCTTCCGCCAGCGCAGACC